CAGAGTCGTGGAGGAGGCCCATGGACTGCCAGGTTGCATGGCCTCTCACGGGGCTGGCTTTCCTCTGAGGTACGTGAGAGCTACTAGAAGTCTTCAGCTGGGGAAGAGCTGGCTAGCTGGCTGACATGACAGATCCCCTGTCAGAGTTTCTAGAGCAATTGGTGGCAGAATTCAAATCCACAAGTTCTATTGAAAAGTCATTTTCTAAATGTCAACTGCCTGCCTGTCTCCCCACTACAGTACAGCAGGTGGCTCTTGGCAGGGAAGCAGCCTGTTCCTTCTGACACAAACACCAAAGGGTAGGATGGAATGAAAAAAAAAAAGAAAAAAAAAAGGAGGCACACTCGCTAAGTTTAGTCAGTCTTCGCTCTTGCTACACATATGCTCGGGCTCAGTGCCGGAAGAGGGTTGCCATTGACTCTCTCTCCCGACACAGAGCCCAGCTATTTTGGGGTGGCCAAGTAAGTAAGCCTCTGGAGGAGGCTTTGCTATTCCCCGCTCCGCCAGGAAGGAGACTTGGGGGCTGAGACAGGACCTAAGGGCCTGGAGGACAGCTCCTGATGGGTTGTCACTACGGCCATGCATCTTCCTTCCCAACTCTGGAGCTGCGTCCTCACCCTGGTGTTAAACACCCCCTCACAGTTCAGCCATCATCACAGACCAGCTCCTTCCCAGGTATCTGCAGTCATAAGTGGGGTAATTAGCTACGATTACAAGGAGAAAGAGAGCCAGGGAAACAATACAATTGCCTTTGCAGCTGGGGCCACCACCTGGCTTCCTGCTCCTTAGACGTCCCTCCTGGGCCTGAGTTAGGAGTCCCGGTGCAAAGCGAAAAAGAATCTCTCGTTCAAAATCTGTGACTTTCAAGGCAGCCTGAGTCCAAAGGGGTGTTCTCTTCGCTGGGAGACTAGCGGTAACTCTGGCATTCCGTGAGACTCTTCCAGAAGACAAGAGCTGTTGATGTTCATTGAAAACTAAGAAGGGAGGGTAACCCTCCTCCTACTCGGACTGCACTGGGGGTGGAGAGGTGGTTCGGTGGTTATAAGTGCCATCCTGTTCTCCCAGAGTGGCCCAGGTTCAGATCCCAGCATCCACGCCAGGCAGCTCACAACTCTCTGCAACTCCAACCACAGGGGTTCCAACACCCTCTCCTGGCCTCTGTGGGCAGGGCATGCAGATACGCACAGATAAAAATAAAACACAAGCATAAAAGGAGCAGATGGTGGGTTTTGCACTTGAAGGCAGCATGCAGCCCGAGCAGAGCACGTGGAGAGGTAACTACACAACGGCGGAAACTGGGGTGTGTATCTCAGCTGTTCTGGAATAGACACGATACTAAGAACACGTGTCCCAGGGCGTGGGAAGCCTCGCAGTAGCTAAGAAGCCATTCCTCAGAGGCAACCCAGACACTGAAGCCATTGCTTCCATCAGATGTCCAGGCCCCAGAACTGGGAGATCCAAGTTCCCACTGTTCGCAACACCCACCCACCCCACCCCACCCCGGGTGTGTTCAACATTTCTCGGTGACCACAGCAAACTTACCCCTTCTGCATCAGTTTACATCAGCACGTGGTTTTGGAGGCTTGAAACTGAACTATGCCACTTAATGATTTCCTCCTATGCCTACTCAAGCCTGGTGGGCCTGACAGAATCATGACCAACTCTTAGTTTATTTGTGGTTCAGTTATCCTGGTTTACTCAGAGCAAATGTAGGAGTCATGTTTGATTCAGAGAGAGAGGGGAAAAAAAATCATATATCTGTACAGGTCTGACTCAGAACAGGCACATTTATTTAGAGATTATCAATTTTGCAAACACCACGGGTCTTTATTACGAGTTCAGCTGTTCAGACATGCCTAAGGCTCACCACCCCGGAGGTTAATATCACAGTGGATTCCCAAAGCCGTTGATGCGCTCGAGAACAGACCCTTAGCCTTATAAGGGAAACAGCTGCCTCGTAGCGTGACAGCATGGTGGACAGAGGGCAGCAACGAGGCCGCAGGTGTGGTCCAGTCCTGCAAGGACACTGCCGAAGGTCCCTGAGAAGGGAGATGCGCCTCCTTGGGCCTCAGTTTCCTTTTCTGTAAATACAGACTTTGACCTTGTTCCCTGGCTCTGTAGTCTCCCAGTTTCAATGTTCAGCATTTCAATCCTTAGTCTCTCCCAAAGCCAAGAGAATGCAAGAAGCCATGACTCTTGAGAGCATTGGTCTTAACCCTCCTTGCTGTGAGGGTAGGGTTTGCAGCCATCAGGGGTAAGGCTGGGAGGCACAGACCCAACCTCACTGGGCAGGGAAGTGGTTGTTTTTATTCCCCCCACTTTGAGTTCAGTGTGTGGCCACCTTTGTTCTGAGCTCAGGAAACAAGGGGCTGTGGTAGAAACTCAGACCAGAGAGGCAAAGAAACTTGCCTACAGGGCCACAGCTGTATAGCCAGCAGGAGGCTGAGCGAGGGCGATCCCAGGCAATGTGGCTCAACAGCTGCCCTCAGAGGTTAGGATAGCAGGGCTGTATGCAAGGAGTCTGTCCTCAAGCCTAGGGCCCTGAGAGACACCAGATGCCTCAGGCTAGCAGAAAACATACCAGAGGGAGAGCAGGAAAACGTTTTTTTCTCCAAGGCTGTCCATACTGACATTGCAGATGCCCTAGGACCTAACAGGCATTTCTTGAGGCCCACTTAGGTGGGAGGCTGGCCTGCTGATGCCACCTCACACAGATTCCTGGTACCCATGCAAGCCAGAGAACTGGCAAGAGAGGGCTGGTTTTGGGAAGCGTGGGGTTAGAAAGCCTGGCTTTATTTGTGCCTTGATCCAACATCAGAGGGATTTGTCACTGGTCCCTACTCCCCAACTTGCCACCTCACGCTGTGTTTGCCCAGTGAATAAACGGTACACCTCAGACTAAATGTGTAACTTGGACCTGGGAACCCCCTGAGTTGATACTATTGACCAGGGTCACAAGGTAAACACAGGCCAGCTTCCCCAGGAGGCTGCACAGTACTGTTTCTGAAAAGGATGCCTTAGTGAGTTAATCTTTTTTGTTTTTCATAATTATGCCCAGATTCCAAAGGGCCCTATCTGCACTTCACTCTCTAGGTATTTCATATTTGTGCTATATCATATTATATTATATCATGGCTCCCTTATGTCCAAAAAGGGCTGCATTTGTCCTCACACTCCGCCTCCAGCTGCTCACTCCGTTTAGGAACCTTCCCAGCTTCCATTTCCTCCTAGCGCCATTGGCTTTTGATCTCAGAGCAGAAGGGGTGTGCTTTTATTAGATTCAATTTGCAGGAAGGCCCCAGGTTCCCCGTGAATCGAGCCATAATAGTCAATGAATAATCACAGGGCTCGGGCAGGCATCAGTAACTAGGAAACCACCCAAGAAGAGCAAGGGGGAAGAAACAATCAGAAACGGTGAATGTGTATCCGTTATGTTCCTAAGCATATAATTGCCCAAGGCAGCCACCAAATGGGCCAGGTGAGGGGATGCTTGGGCCAACACAGGTCTCCTTCTACAGAGGTCTGCTATTGATGCTGCTAGCTGCTGTTACCTTAGGATCAAGGTTGGGGTTGCTTTCCCAAATGCCTTCCTTCCTTTCCATGTATGTGACAGGTTTTTTGTTTTGTTTTTTCCCCCCGAAGACATTCCTTACATGCCCACCAAGGAAAGCTTACAAAGCTTGTCACCCTATTATTTGGAACACATAGTGGTTTAGGGTACCTGAGCTTCAAGAGACCACTATGTGTGTGCCAAGCGGGCACATGGTTAAGGCATGAGAACAGGCAGGTAGGAGGACACCCTCCTTCAACTGGAACTGAATTCCAGCAAGTCAGTACCTTCTGCCCTGTAGAGTACCCCCTCCTTGACCTGGGTTCTCTGGTCCAAACCTGAATACGCGCTGAGAAGCCACGAGAAAAAATATCGATTCCGTCTGAACACAGCTGTCCTAACTTAGTGGATTGGGCCTTGACTCCTGAAGAGGGTGATACACCAGAGAGAAATATCAAGTACAACAGTAATTCGATTGGCCAATAATTCTTCAGATGGGGGTGTTGCCATGGAAACCAGGAGCCCTGAGTACCAGGGAAACGGGGGGGGGGGGGCTTCTGCTCACTTCCCAACAAGGCTGTCCTTGGAACGTACCAATCATCAGCCCCATGGCCTTGCCTAAACTGGACGCCTGCAATTCCATATGCATCTCTGGTATCCACCTAAACTTTTCTACTCGATACCAAACACACACCCGAGCCTACAGAGCAAACGCACAGGTTTCCAACGGTGAAAAGTGTCCCTTTCCTGCAAGAAAGAGAAACTGCCCTATGGCCGGTGCTTTTGCCCATGAGTTTGGGACACCCACTCTTTACTTGGCATGTCATTGACCTGATAAAGTGTAACACCAATCCCTTGATAACTAATAAGGCCAGGTGTTCCGCCAAGTTAGCGCAAAGGTTGGGCTCAGCTCTAGGGGGCGCCATCCCTACCGAGGCGGTAGGAGGGGCCTGCGCAGAGCCAAGAGGCTACGCCACGTTCCACTCTTCCACTCGCGACTCGGCCACCCGCCTACTTTGCGCCTCCCTAACCTCACGTAAGAGTCCTTTCGTGACGGAAGGGCCAGGAATCAGAATCCGCACATAGTTCCAAGCACAGGGCCGGCCACACAGCAGAAGCCTAACCACCTAACTAACCCGAGTGCCACCAGCGCCACTAGCTCGGATCTGTGGACAGCCGTGCGCCGGGGACGCAGGAGGGCACGGCCCTGCCTTTCCCGCTGGACCTCCAGGGCACACGGCCCGAGCCGGGGCCCCCGGGAGCAGAGGCCAGCAGGCAGGCGACAGCGGGCTGAAGGGGTGCAGGGAGGGCCCCGGGAGGAGCGTGGGGCCGCCGCTGCCGGAGCGCGGGTCTCCTCCCACGCCGGCCTCTAGCTCGCTCCTCCTCCTCGCTCTCTCCGTCACCCCTGCTGTCTCCTCCCCCGGTCCCCTCCGGCCCTCCCCCAGCTCCAGAAGAGCGCGCGGCCAGGGGACCGGGCTGGTTACTTCCTCCACCGCGGCGCTGAGCACGGAGTGGACACCGCCGAGTCCCACCAATCCCCGCCATCGCCCCCCGGCCCCGCGCTCCCGGATCGGCCCTGCGCCTTCGCCTCGCCGGGCCTCGCGCGCCCGGATCACCTCGATCTCCTCTCCCAGCCGCCGGCCGGCCGGCCCTGCCCGCTGCGGCGCGGTAAGAGCGGCCCCGTGTGCGCCGGTCCGCGGGAGGGACTCCGCCCGGGGTGGGGTGCGCTGCGACGGCCCCTGCTCCAGCCGGTCGGTCGATCGCGCGTCGCAGAGCCGCTCCGGCTGGTTCTCGGGCACCCAGTGGCCTCGGCGAGGGACCAGGGTACCGGGCAGGGCGTGTGCAGCCCGCTTTTGTTTTGGGGAAACCAGTGCCCGCCTGGTGCGGTTCCTGCCCGGGGCGCGAGACGGCGTTTCTCAAGGGGATCTGGGGGACCCGAAGAGGGTGCTCTCGGTGGCCCCAGGTTAGGAGGGACTTGAGTGAGGGAAGCGCTAGGCCTGGGAGGATATGGGGGTGCCCGGCGCCTGAAACACCTGGGAAACTGCGGCTCCCAGGAACGCGTCACCTGCTTGGCAAGGTCTGCGTCCCCCACCCCCTACCCCCGGCCCTGTGAAGCCAGCCCAGGACACCGTCCAAGTAGAGGTGCGCATGGCCGAGCTGCCTTTATTTTGGTTTTTTTTTTTTTTTTTCTCCTTAAAGTATAAAAAAGGTGTTGTGTGTGCATTTGACCTGTATTTATTTATTTATTATTTAATCTCGTGAGATTTATGCTAACCTGCACTCAATTTCAGCGGACCTTAAAATAGTGGTTGACTCGCTACTCATTTAGAAGTGAAGCGGTGAGCAGTTCTGGCTGAAGACAGGAGCCACTTAATTCACCAGTTAAGAGATAGACAGATAGACTCGCTCCCTGCCTTGGAAGCTCCAGTACCTTATCTGCCTGCCCACACCGCCGCCGATCGGGAGATATATCTCAGTGTTAAGCTTTTATTAAAATTCTGAGTAATCTCTCAGTACAGTAAATGTGAACACCGTGCGCCCCACAGGGAAATAGTCTAACTCTCAGATCTGGAATTAGTCATTCATCTCTCTAAACTGATCGCTTTCTAAGCGAAAAGCAAACCAACCTTCCAAAGGTTTTGTTCTTCCAAAACTTACCTGAATACAAACCCGTGCCCTCTTATAAATAAATGGCTGCCTGTTCCAATTAAGGACGCAGTTTGCCAGTGAGATTTTTGTTTTAAAACTTAACTTCTCAGCCGTTATGTTTCCACCATTTCACTCCTCCTGCTCATTTTATTTTATTTTATTTATTTATTTATTTTTTGAGTACAAGTAGCAGTTAGTCCCCAGAGTACCAAAGGGTCTAAACTTATTGATTTATCCAGAGTCTCGACTTGTCCCAGGAGTTAGCAAGCACATTCAGTAGGATAAATGAACCTAAATTTGATTAGCCGTGTGTCTGCCTGAAGCCATTTAGTCGAGCACTTTTTAATTCTACAGGGTTTTTTACAAAACTCATTAAAAGCCGGGCAACAAAGGAACCCTGTTCTGCAGCTGGTAATTACAGCTCTTTATGTGGGAGTGGGAACCTCCCTTTTCTCCTCCTGTTTGTACACAAAAGGCAGGCCATTCATCCATCTCAGTAGCTAAAAATCAGAATTAAGTCCGCAAGTGCCTACACGTTGGTCCAACAGAACGCCCTGTCCGGCAGACCCTGAAAGGACCCTGTGGACATTTCTGGCTCTCTGATTGGTCTCCTGCTTAAAGCTTGTGTTTAGTCAACAGGTTACAGGGCTGCCTCCATCCAAGCAGGCAATGTGAAGTTCTTAGTAGTGGAGCATTTCACAGGGCAATGACAAGAAGGCCTGCTTTCATCATATCTGTGTGCTCTCTGCCCGGGCCCTGCTCACCTGAGGTGTGATCTCCATAGACACCCCAGTAGGAGTGTGGCCCCAGGACAGTGACTCAGGGTCATGGGCCACACTCAGCTGCCTCCATGGTAACATTTGGAACCTGGACATAGGAGGAGGACTGAGGAGGTGGGACTCTGCGCTTCATTGGTGGACACAGGGAGTTAGGCATTCTGTCATGGTGGCATTTGTTTGTCGAATCCTTAGTGGGTGAAGCTGAGATACTATACCAAGGGAGACTGGACAGACCCTGCCCTGACTTCTTCCAGAACTGATTGGCGTTCCTTCAGTGCTCCTCAACCTTTGTGAGCTACTTAAACCCAAATCTGCATATCTGAGCTCCCAACAGCCTCCCCGAGGGCCCCTTTTCTGCCCTTACTGCCTTTTTATCAAGGTGTGCGTGTGTGCACGCTTGCACGCCTGTCGGTGTGTGCACGCTTGCACGCCTGTCGGTGTATGCACGCGTATGTGTTGAGCACGAAACCGTTAGGACCTCTGCATTGGCCGTAATGTTGATTATGAAGAGACCACGGGAAAGAACAATGCAGGCAAACACAGTTCTCTGAGAACAGTGTGCTGTCTGCTGCCTCTAGTGAGTTCTATCAACTGCACACTAATTTTAGTGAGTGTTTGTTTAACAGGCGGGTGCGCACGGAGGAGAGCAGGTGTGGGCCGCTGTGGGTAACACCAAGGAGCTGCTGGAAGCTCCCAGTGTTCTGCACCTTGGAACCTGGAGGGCGGGGAGCTGCAGGCAGGTGCCCATCTTAGGGTAGAAATGAGGCTCAATGATTCCTTTTTTTTTTTAAACCGTTGAAGGCCTCCTTACTTCGTTTCTCATGTCACTTGTTCAACGGCTGAGTACACATCATGGCCCACTGCAAGCCACGTTTAACTATAGTCAGTAAACCTAATGTATTCGCAACATTACGTAAGCACGGCGTAAATATTCAAAGTGCCTAGACGCTTTCCTTTTCCCTTCTAGTTCCTGAGATATCCTCACTCACAGCCTGCCTCCCTGCGCAGGTGCCTGGTCAGTGCCAGTATACCACAGCTGGTGGTCAGCACAGCTCTGGCATAAGCCCCTATTATTAAAGCAAGGCCTGGCTTCTTGAAGGGATTCACAACTGTGCTACATACAAAGTAGAGAAGGTCTGAGCTCACATACTCAGAGGCTGAGGGGCTGTGGGACTCAGGGTCACGGGTTTCTATGTATCTCGGAGAAGAATGGTGTGTGTGTGGGGGGGGTGCTCCCGTGGGAGCTTCCAAGGCAGGTGACCCCTCTGTGGCTTCCAGTCATTGCTCGGGTTGTATTGATGCCCTGTGCAGACGGGAGATGGTGGCACGTGGCCCTGCTGGGTACCACCTGGGCTCTCACCTCAGCTGCCCATAGAAGGAAGAGCTGCTGAGGCTCATGGCACAGCCTCCCCGCTCGCCTAACCCAGGGTGTTGGGGGGGAGGGGCAGCCCGTGCAGTGAGTCTCACATCTAAACGGAGCTACTTTGTCTGGAGCCCTTATATAACAAGTTCCACATCCAGGCACGCGGGAGCCACCTGTACTGCTGAAGATCGATGTCGCCGCTGCCAGGATTACCTTTAAAACGTGCTTCGGTGGTAACCTCTCTAACTAACTCTGTCTCTTTTGCTCCCCCCCACCAAGATGAATGATTTTGCAATCAAGAACATGGACCAAGTGGCCCCCGTCGCTAACAGTTTTCGAGGGACACTCAAGGTGTGTGCTTCTTAATCAAAAAATTCTTCTCGACACTTTCAGAAACTCCGTTAGTAAGGGGGGGGGCAACCCGTGTTGGACTGGGTCTCAGAGAAACTGGTTCTGGCCTCCAGGTTTTTAACTATCTTAGCTGTGGGATTTCTGCGGGGGGGGGGGGGGGAATTGTTTAATCTCCCTGGGCCTCAGTCTTCTGTGCTGTGAAATGGGTACCACCATACTACTTGGCAGTCATCTGTTTGTGCCTGCATGCATGTACGTGTAGAGGTCAGAGGACAGTTTGTGGGAGTCCGTTCACCCCTTCCTTCTACCGTGGAGGTCCTGGGGACCAAACTCAGGTCCTCAGGCTTGGCACTGGGTGTCTTTACTCACCGATCCACCTCAGCAGTCCCAGAAGGCTGTGTATAAACTGAAAGCAAAGAGTTGAGACTAGGTACCTTTGTGCTAATTCCATGGGGGGGGGGGGCTGCCCCCGGGGGGGGGGGCTGTAGGGAGCCTGCTCTCTCTGGTGCAGCAGCAACAGGCCTGTTTATACAAACCCCAAACAGACTAAAGGTGAAAGAGCTGGCTCCCCTGTGAGGCACTCTTGTGGCATGAGCTGGCAGTTTTGTTTGTGAGTGCGTGCGTGCGCGGGTGCGTGCGTGCGAGTTCGTGCATGTGAGTAAAGAAGCCAGCACTGAGTGTCTGTCTCTATTGCTCTCCACTTTATTTTTTTGAGACAGCGTCTGTCACTGAACCTGCTGCTCACCGGCTAGGCAAGACGGGCGGGTGAGGCTCCGGGAGCCTCCTGTCTCTGCTCTCCTGATGCTAGGATTACAGAACCACAGGACAGTCTCTAGAGCTGGTCCTTGCCTTTCCCTTATTTGAGGCAGGGTCTCTTGTCCTCTGCTGTGTACACAAATCTCCTGGGGCCTCTCCTGTCTGCCCCTCTTCCCAGCACACAGGGATGACAGACAGGGCCCCTTGTCCAGCCTCACGTGGGTTCTGGGCATCCAACTCATGTCCTCAAGCTTCCCCAGCAAATGCTTTCCCTACTGAGCCACCACCTCCCCAGCTCCCTAAGCTGCCCTCACGGTTATGTGTCTGGTGCAAACTCCAGAGGCAGAACCTGGCACCAATTTTTCTGTTACAGTGAAGGCGTCGAGTCCAGTGTGTTTCCTTGTTCGATTTAGCTGTGTGTCTTGAGCATGGCAGAGACGATGCTCAGATGTGATGGGGATGAACCCACAAACACCCCTAAAGGGGAAAACCCTTCTGTAAATGGAGAGAACTTGCTGATGTCTGGATTCGGAGAAGGCATTCGCCACCAGAGCCTATGTTGAAATCCGTACCGCGGCTTTGCATTATTCTGTGACTTCCTGGTTTTATAAAAAGAACTTCCAGAAAGACACTTCCTAGAGGTCTAGGCAATACTTGCGGGAAGTTTTTTGTTTTGTTTTGTTTTTTGTTTTTTGTTTGACATCTATTTACTATTTCTCCAAAATCATTTCCACATAAAGTCCCTGGTTCATCTAGTCCTTCATATGCCTCGGTGAGCCTTCCCTCCTGGGCCGTTGGCAGTCCTGGGGGGATTGAGGATTGAGGGCTGGGATTGGCAGCCTGCCCCTTGCTGGACACGTCATTCACTCTTCTGCATTTCAGAAATGAAGGCACAGCACTGAGCTGATTTTATTTGTAAATGTGTTACACATTTATTTGCCCATGATGTAATACATGGGTCATTGTGTTACAAACCATGTGGGATTTCCAGATGATGTTGGGAAACAGAACTTTTCTTCACGTTCTTAAAAGGAGCTGGGCAGGGGTGGATCAGCCTCGTAGGGAGCTTATCCATGCCCCTCCCATGCAGGCTGCTGGTTTTTTATAAACGTTGCTTTTGTGGGGTCACACAGCCGTCAATGTTTTCTGGGGCTTTCTTTGCCTGTGTACCCAATTTTTCCTGAAAGATACCTTTGAAAGTCTCCCTGTAGTTGGTTTGAAGTTTCTTTTCCACACTCTTTTATTATTATTATTATTATGATGATGATGATCATCATCATCATGGAAAGTATTAAGGTTTTATTTTTTTCACAGATTATTATTATCTGGACCACTGGAGTATGAAGAAGGGCTTCCCTCGCTTCACTTAAAGTGGTAGATCCTTCAAAGCAACTGCCCAACAATAAGAACAGCCTTCCCTTTTTATTTGATTGTTTTACACCAAAACACCCTGTCCGGTATTTCTTTTCCTATGCACCCGGTCCAATGAGATGGGTGCCGGTCTTCTCTGAAGCCCCTCTCGGTGTGGTCCTAAGATCCGACTGCTTTTAGATGTATTTACTTTACTGATTTAAGTTGATTACGCTGCTGAAATAATCTCCCAAACCATCTGACCCTGTGAGATTAATTAAAGAATCCAGAGTGCAGTCCTAGGGAGTGTGTTGCCAGTACTGAGAGGCCATTGGCTCGTGTTGCTTTAGAATGGCTGATGTCATCAGGGCCTGTGGCGAGGATCGTGGACCAATAAGAAAGCAAATCATCGAGTGAGTTCACGCCTCGCCTCTTTCTTTCCTGTGTCTTGCAGCGCCAGCCGGCCTTTGACACCTTTGATGGTTCTCTGTTTGCTGTGTTCCCCTCTCTCAGTGAAGAGCAGACACTCCAAGAAGTGCCCACGGGCTTGGATTCTGTCTCCCATGGTAATTTGCCCCCCATCCCAGCAGAGGTGGTGCATAGCTTCCCTCAGTAGTTGGGTTAATAAAGGCATGACCAGTTCATAAAGACAGATCATTCCCCAGCCAAGAATGCCGATGGCTTCAGTACTGGGTGTAGACCATCTTGACGGAACACTTCTCCCGGGGTAGGGGGGAAGCCAGTTTTCCTTTTGTATGAGTAAACTGGTCATTCTGGTGTCTTCACTTGCGATGGTACCCGCGAACCAAAGAGCCCCGAGAGCCCCTCTTTGGGTTTTTTTCAAACACTTCCTCATCTCCCCGATGTCTTCTTCAAGTAGAAGGTAGTGGGCACCGAGCTGTGTGCCAGCTTCTAATGCTCAGTTCACATTTCTAGTTAAAACACCCCAGTGGGCCAGCGCGTGTGCACACACACACACACACACACACTCATGCACACACTCACATACACTCACACTCACACACCCATACACACTCACACACACTTGTACACATACTCACACTCACACACACACACTTTTCCCTTTGAGTTTTGGTACCACAAGTTACTCTTGCTCGTCCTAACCGGTCTGTATTTTGGTGGTAATTCTCACTACCATTCTTCAGTCTAATCAAAGGACTAGCATGCCACATACGTCTCTACAATCACTTCATAGAGTTATTGGCTGGACACATTCCAGGTGGATTTGTCACACGAAGTGGGTGCTGGACGACACAGCCCAGGAAGATCAAAGCGCCCAGGCTTTCATAAGCACGGCATTGTCCGGTGATCTTTTATTGTTCCTGAAATTTCGGACAGCACCAGAGAAGACTGTTTCTCAAGGAAGCTGGGGGTGTGCGCCTGTTTCACAGTGCAGAGTAGTCTGAGCCTGGCACGCCCGGGTTCGTCTGCTCAGCTTGACGGATGAAGCTCCCACGTCAAACATTCACGGTCACTGAAGGCAGCCAGGGACTATCCAACCTCTGGGCATAGGAGTGTCTCACACACACACACACACACACACACACACACACACACACACACCAGGGACTTTGCCAGGCTGACTTAGAACTCACTGTGTAGCCCAGGTTAACCTCAGTATTCTCCTGTCTCTGTCTCCCAACTACTGGGATTACAGCTGTATACCACCAAGCTCATTTTTATTCTGGATTTTTTTTTCCCCATAAATGGAATTTTAAGAAGCATAACTGGTTTGGGTTCTTAATGCCATTGCTTACTTTTTAAAAACAAAATCAAAAATGGCATGTCAAATTATATCTCTGTGGTTATTGTAATAGAGTATATTTAAAAAAAAAAAAATGTCTTTCCTTGTTTGCTTTTGGAGTCCTTTGTTTGTTTGTTTGTTTGTAATGCTGGGTATGGAACCCAGGGTCTCCTGCATGCTACACGAGTGTGCAAGCGTTTAGTTGCACCCCAGCCCCACAGCTGTATTCTGATAAGGAATCCTATTGAGATTTGTGATCGTGGTTCCCTGAAGATTGCGGCTTCTCCTAAACTTCTGTTGACATTGTCGCCCTGGCCCTGACATCCCTGTGGTCTCTCCCCAGACTCAGCCAGCTGTGAACTTCCCTTGCTCACACCCTGCAGCAAGGCGGTGATGAGCCAAGCCTTAAAAGCCACCTTCAGTGGCTTCCACAAGGAGCAACGGCGTCTTGGCATTCCCAAAAGTAAGTGCTGGCTGGGCTTGGAGGCTGCAGAGGGACTGGTTTGGCTGGGTCTGTCTTTAAGATGCTCTTGGTTGTTTTGCAAGAAGTTGCAAGAATGTAGGAAGAATGCAGCTGCCCTGTGCCTGTGGCCTGCTTCACACCTAACCCTGCACTCATTAAACACCAGGTGCCATTGGTGTCTTAGAACATGCCTAGGTCACAGCACGGTGGCGTCTCTCTCCTTTCGTGGGGTTGGGGCTGTCCAGGCTTGGTGAATTGCAGAAGGCCACTCCCTGCCTTCCGGATGTTCACAAGTGTTTTCCTTTCTCGCCCTCGATGCACAGACCCCTGGCTTTGGAGCGAGCAGCAGGTGTACCAGTGGCTTCTCTGGGCCACCAACGAGTTCAGCCTGGTGAACGTGAACCTGCAGCGGTTTGGCATGAACGGCCAGATGCTGTGTAACCTGGGCAAGGAGCGTTTCCTGGAGCTGGCACCTGACTTTGTGGGTGACATCCTCTGGGAACATCTGGAGCAGATGATCAAAGGTAGGGCTGCGGGATTTGGAGAGGTGGGGACCCAGACAGCAGGAAGGCGTGCCCTTCTACCTCGGGCTGCCCAGTAGCACAGAGTCCCTTGCTTCAGAAAACCCCCAAGCAAGTCAAACAGAGAGGTGATGATGATGGGTCTTCATTCCATGGAGGGAAGTGTGCGCGATGTTCAGGCCAGGTGTAGCCACGAGGCAATAGCCTGAGTCACCAAATTGCTGGTTTTGCCAGCTCAGAGCACCTTGGATATGTAGGCCAGCCAGGGTGCCATGTGGGTGAGCTCACTGGAAGAGCCAAGAGAGACAGGGAAATGTTAGGCAGCATAAACAGATGATCGTTGCAGATTTCATAGGAAAATTACTCCGGTCCGCTGAGGATTTTGGAGTACAGGCTGTAACCGATCTACTTGTATACACACCGAAATGTTAAGTGCAAACGCTGACCTCAGATGTCACTCTTGTGTCAGAACTCAAACATCAGTGAGGCTTGCTTAAACGGTATGTGGGTTTACATGAGGGGTAGTTCTAATAAGACTAACTTAAGTTTAAAAACTGAATAAAACGGTTAGCATCATGGTTAAACACATCTGCTTTGAACAAATAAATTCAGAATCTCATTTAGGATTCCATTGCCAGGCTGGTTTAGTTGTGGCTGCCTAGAGCCAAGGGAAACCGACTCCTGACTTCGAGGACTCCCTGATTCCTTGGGAGCCTGGCCTCACCCAGTGCATTTCTGGGCAGTGTGTGCATTTGTGTCGCTTGGCTTCAAAGGATAGAGTTTGCGATTGTGAGTTCCTAGCACGGCAGTTTACACAGAACACACTTTCCCTGTGGACTTCACGGCGTCCCGGACTAACCTGCGGAGGATGTTAAGCCTCATGGCGTTAGGGTCTAAGTCCATCTCCTTCGCCACTGTTTTCCCAGCCCCAGAACAGATGGCTTTTCATAAACATAGGCGTGAAGTGAATACGCTTTTCTAGACAGTGACGCCATCGATTTTGGAAAACTTATCCCAAATTATTAGGGGGAAAATGTATCCTAATTAAAAGTACAGACATAAGGGGGTTGGAATCAGATGGAAGATGAAGGGCAAGGTGAACCATTCCAACATCCGCAACACAGGGGCTCGAAGTACGGCTCTTCTTGTGCAGTTTTTAAAGGGGGCTTGATGTCTTCTTCTGTGTGTGTGTTTTTCAGAGAACCAAGAAAAGACAGAAGACCAATATGAGGAAAACTCACACCTCAACTCGGTCCCTCACTGGATCAGCAACAATACACTAGGTCAGTCAGGTGACCTTTTCTCAAAATCTCTGGCATTAGTCTCTCAAGCCCCTCAGGTGGCCTGTGGTGGCTACACATGGGTATTGGCCTGCTGAGCCCCTGAAACGTAGCAGATACACATGGAATGCATGAGGATCTAAGAGTCTGACTCATCTCTGCTCACTCAGAGGTCGTAAAATGAAACCGATAATATAAACTGTTCCCTGATGAGTTAGGGCATTGTTTATATACCCAGGTGACCACTGATAAGCTGGCAAGTTAAATGGAAAATTAACTTCACCTGCCCCTTGTGTTTTTAATGTGGCCACTGGGGAAACTTAAACTTGCTTAAGTGGCTCATCTAATCTCTGGGAGTCAACACTGTTAAACCATAAAGAGGGAAAAGAAGTCAGGAGACATTAACGTAGTATGACAGAAGATGTGGCCACAAGGGCATGGAAGACAGTCACAGTGCTCTGAATTTGGCACCTAGGACACCTGTCTCAAAACAGGGTGCCAGGGGGCAGGGGGGGGGGGGAGTGGCTCACAAGGCCAGCTGTGGGTCTAGCTGTGGCGATGTTCGCTTTAACAGCCCTCCCATCTGACCCACCCTGTATCCAGGCTTCGGAATGGAACAGGCTCCGTATGGAATGCAGGCACCAAGCTACCCCAAAGACAGCCTGCTGGACAGCATGTGCCCGCCGTCTGCGACACCTGCGGCTCTCGGCACTGAGCAGGAGTTCCAGATGTTACCCAAGTCTCGGCTCAATACCGTCAACGTCAATTACTGTTCCGTCGCCCAGGACTTCCCTGGCGGCAACTTGAATTTGCTCACCAATGGCTCTGGTAAGAGGACATTCTAGAATAAGGTTGTTTAGTTTATCCCAGAAGCCATCTGGTCTGAGAGACGCTTGGTAAGGACATCCTGTCTTCTGCCATTGGAAAAGGAGGTTAAAGGAAGGGGTCACCTTCCGTGTGGCTTTGCAAAAAGCGCAACCCGTTTGAAACCCCGGTCTGGGTTCTGTAGGTATCGAGTGAGCAATACCGAATAGCATTACAGCTTTAAGCTAACTTTCCTCACAGAGCAGTACACTCTGTTGGACACGTACGGGGGAGTGTGCCAGATTAAGAGTGTAACAGACAGGGTCCACACATCTCAGGTTGTACGTCTGGTTGAATTAACACGGCTGCGTACATCCGTGTGGAGATAGAAGTTTCTAGCTGTCTGTAAGGTTCCTTCCTGTCCTTTCCTAGCCCTCTGCACAGGAGCAAAGCATTTGACCTTTCCTCGTCACAGATTGGTTTCTGCTGGGTTGGGGCTTCACACAGACCGGCTCCTACTGTTTCCTTTGGAGTTTGTCTGTTACCAGCCCTTGTGTTGTGGCATTTACTCTTTCTGGTGGCTACATAATATTCTACGTTTTATCCACGCTTCTGTTGGAGGAAGGTGTCATGTGTACGTGACCTTGTCCTGAGAAATCAGCACCTGAGTTTTAGAGCACTCACGGGAGGTCTGAAGGATGCCTTGCCTGCAGTGTTCATATCTGTACCGGGCGTAGTTGGAGGTGGTTGCAGGAACTGGGGCCAAGATGCACTTGATGACCCAGGGGCACTGGCCCTTCTCACTTCTTGGAGGGGTCTCTGCATGAGTTGGTTGTTTTTCTCACCAGGGAAACCCAAGGACCACGACTCCCCAGAGAATGGCGCGGACAGCTTCGAGAGCTCTGACTCGCTCCTGAGGTCCTGGAACAGCCAGTCGTCCTTACTGGATGTGCAGCGGGTGCCTTCCTTTGAGAGCTTCGAGGAGGACTGTAGCCAGCCGCTGTGCCTCAGCAAGCCAACCATGTCCTTCAAGGACTACATCCAAGAAAGGAGTGACCCAGTGGAACAAGGCAAACCAGTTATTCCTGCGGCGGTACTGGCTGGCTTCACCGGTGAGTGTGCACTCAGGGCTCCGGCGGGCTCCTGTGTGTGACTGCAATGTCACCCGTGCTGCTTCCAAGTTTGGCTGTGACACTCACAACTCTAAGGTTAGCTGTCCCCAAGACCAGGCTTGCAGAGGTTTTCACGTTAGGATCTCAGGGGGTTAGGATAAGATCCCAGGCCACGCCCTCTCCCTGGGACAAGAGGTGGAAGGGTAGGAGACGGGGACAGATGGACAGACTGGTACTGGTTCTGACTCATACTCTGGATCTCTAGGAATGTAAACTGGCCTGGGGAAGGGCGGGAGCTCGCTCGTAGGAGACCAGCGCTATTTGCCTCTCTTGGCCCCTTCCAAAACCATCTAAGAGGAGGGCAGAGAATGAGTCTGTTTTTAGGACCAGACTGGAGCAAAAAATACCAAGAATGTTCATTTTCACCGCTCCAGATGCCTTTAAATAAACCTTCTTCTCATGCTGGCCGTAAGAAGCCACTGTGGATTTTTTTTTTTTTTTTTTTTTTTTTAAGCTTAAACAATAAGATTAAAATGAGGATGTGTGGATTTTCTTTTTCACTAACAAAACAAATGGCTACACAAATGTATAAAGACTCATAGAGTGTTTTGAACCTAAGGCCATTTTGATACCTAGGAATCCAAGGGCTGCTAAGGAAACCCCACACACAGCATTAGGAATGTCTACCTGGGTGGTAACAGTAGTACTGTTTGTAGGGTAGCCCAGCCTGTGGCCCGCGGTGTTACCGTGGGTAGTGTGGACACTCACTGAGGAATCCGCGCAGGGGTGACAAGCCACTGAAGAGTAGGCTCAGTCTGGTGTCATCTGAGGTCTTCCCTTCCCTAATCTGTGATAGGGACCCAAGACAAGTCGGCTCTCCTTAAGACTGCCTGCTCGCTGGGAGGCTCAGACCCCTGCTGACCTTGCAGAATCTGCTATAACCTGCCTCCCCCACCCCTGTTTATCCCCAGGAAGTGGACCGATCCAGCTGTGGCAGTTTCTTCTGGAGCTGCTCTCTGACAAGTCCTGTCAGTCTTTTATCAGCTGGACAGGGGATGGATGGGAGTTCAAGCTTGCTGACCCTGACGAGGTATGGCCATTTGTGCCCTCAACCCCAGTTCATCACACTGGGTTCTAAAGCCAACCCCAGTCACAGGGAAAGTCAACCGAGACCTTCCCCCGGCAGGAGTCCCCTGCTCAGGCTTGTTCACGAATGGGCCTGGTATCCTTTAGGCAGCGCCCTGCCTCCATGGACATTGTAGGAGGTTGTCTGAGTACCCTCAGCAAGTTCTAGAGGGGCCTCACCTTTGTCCCCCCAAATTGGACATGGCACATGGCAGCCAGGGAGCCTTCAAGGCTGGCCCTGGGCCCCTCTGCTAGAGATGGCTTTGGTAAGGCATGATGCCAGCAGTATACATAACGTACTCTGCCACCGTCTCTGTGTCTGGGGGAATAAGTATGTCTCGTGCTTGGGCCAGGGTAGTCTCTTAAGCTATCACACGGCAGAGTGGCTGCCTAGCTTGCTCACGGCCGTGGCGTCTATCCCAAACACCACATAAATCAGGTGTGCTGGCACACGCCTATCTGTAATCAGCAGGGAAGCAGAGGCTGGAGAATGAATGGCCAACCTGGGATAATGAGACTCTGGCTTTTTAAAAGGGGTCGAGGTGGAGGGTGGCTGACAGCAGATGTCCCTGCCTGGGGCACTCCTGGTTCCAAATGGTTGGCCCCAGGAGCTGGGGGAGCCGGGGAGATGTGAACATCCCTGGCCCTTGTACAGAGAAGCATCTCCATACATTTAAAGTGACCCAGACAGGTCCCCATGACTTAGGTTCTTCAGAGTGAGCATCGGGGCCAAGGGGAGGCAGTCATGGCTCCAAAGTGAACACGGGTGACTCTGACCTCTCCGTGTCTTCCCAAAGGTGGCCCGCCGGTGGGGCAAGAGGAAGAACAAGCCGAAGATGAACTATGAAAAGCTGAGCCGGGGTTTACGATACTACTACGACAAAAACATCATCCACAAGACGTCAGGCAAGCGCTACGTGTACCGTTTCGTGTGTGACCTGCAGAACTTGCTAGGGTTCACTCCTGAGGAACTGCACGCCATCCTGGGCGTCCAGCCTGACACAGAAGACTGAGGTCCTCAGGATGACCCTGAGCTGGCCCCGGGCCCGGGGACTGAGTGGGAAGCCTGTCCTGACCCATTGCTCCAAAGACCACGGGAGGGCAGGGTGTAACCCTCTGGGAGCTGCCAAACAGCAGCGGTCTCTTTCCAACCCATGCCTCTTCCACAAGGCCAACTCCCCAGTGGTGGAAGGTGGCATGGCCTCCCTGTCCCGTCGTGAGACCCGGAAGGGAAGTGGCTCCGGGAAGCCACCCCAGCACGCACCGAGCAGGCTGTGCACTGATCACAGTCGTTGTGGCTATTTGAGATGATGCTCCAGGGAGAGAGGCTCTGGTGGATGCACAAAACCCTGAAGAACATTGTTTTTCCTTTGGCCTTTCGCCTCCAGGAGTAGCAAACGCGAAAGCCGCCTCCTCTTCACGGAGAGCCTGGGATAGGCAGGTGGAGAGCGGTGGTTGCCCGCTCCGTTTCGGAAGTCAGTCTGTACATATTATTGTATCTTATAACGTCAAAGTCCGCCAACCGTTCTATTTAACAGAAATTGTATATTGTATTTAAAAGTAATTATAACTGTGTTTGAATCAAGAACGCAGATACCTGGTAGATTTTCTTTTCTTTTTTTTTTTTTTTTTTTTTTTTTTTTGGTTTTTTGGTTTTGTTTTCAATAGCACCTAGGAACGTCGTTTTACACAGGTGTAATCTCTTGGGGGCTGGCTGACTGAGAGAAATCGTAATATACTGTTTCATTTGATTTTTTCTAACAGGAATGGGGTCTGAGGGAAGACCCCCCCCCCCGGTTTTTATTTTTACTTTTGTTTTGTTGTTGTTGTTGTTGTTGTTTTAGTTCTGACTTGCTCATTATCTGGCCAGGACTTTGTATATTGAGCTTTTTTTATATATATAAGAGATTTAACGTTATTATTTGAGGGTGCCCCCAGGCCTCCCCACTCCCTCCAGGACTGTAAAGTGAAAGCTATAAAGCAGTATTTTTCTCGACAAATGGCACATGCTTTCCACATCTCTGCATGCCTTAAGTCGGTTTCTACACAAATGTATTTTATTATTATTATTATTATTTTTTTTTTTGGCGTAACTGTGTTTTCCAGGCAACTCCCCCTCCCCCTAGCCAGTCGCTTCCTTCCTTCCCCCCAAGGTATTCTGTGAGACTACAATAAGAAGACTATTTTTGGAAATCTATGCCTCCTTTTCAGAGATCAGAAGGGATTTATGTAGCAGCTATTTTTACTGCAAAAGTAACTCACTGGAAAAAAATTGTAATTTGTACGAAAGCTTTATTTTTATCTTCGTTTGTGTGAAGGGAAACGTGTTGGGCAGGGCTGAGGGCGGTCGGGAGGGATCGTCCATCAGCCTTGACCTTAAACAAAAACGGGGCGCTTCCCATCTCCACGACCCTCCGTGTTTCTTATATCTGGGTTGCATGCGCTTCTTCCTGCTCTGTGCCCTCAGAGAGCTTGCTCCTCTCATATTTCTTGGCCACAAATGCCCAGAAGCACAGACAGGGTGAGCAAGATGGGAAACGGTGTGGAGCCGTCTGTGGATGTCCTTGTCTGCTGAAGAGCTCACCCCACTGTGAGACCCCCATGCTTTGACCCAGTGATTCGGTTTCAGAAGTGGACCACAAGCCTTGCCATTCACCAGCAGGGTGGCCTCAGGGGGCCAGCAGGTGACACCGAGACCTTGAAATGGACCCAAGACCAGCTGGGACCTGGTATGCCAGTCCTAGGAGTCTAGCCGGCAGACTGAATGCTTTGCAGCTGAGCCGAAGCTGCTTTTCAAATGGGACCAGTGTGTCACTGGGACGTCTGTCTGTAACGTAAACAGACTTGGGCCCGGAACAGGTGCCTGCCCAAAGCTTAGCCATCACTTCAATTTGTATGCAGGTGAGCCACAGGAAATTGCCAAGTTTAGCCTGAGTTTCGTCAGCCAAGATGGCAGCTTTTCATGGTTGAACCCAACAGTTATGGAAGTCTTTGGCGTCGTGGTCTTAAGTATAAAGGTTTTGTGATTTGGCCTTTTCCTCCTCAAATAATAAAGTGTTTGGTTTATGCCAATGCCTCCTTGTAATGTTGGCTCCTTGGAATATTTCTCCTTCCCGGTCCCTACCCAGAGGAGGTAGATGAGAATATGAACCCACCCATGCCCTACCCTCATCTACACGACCTGAAAGTTCAGTCTGTAGCTCCTGGATGGAATCCATTGAGTCCTTCCTCAAGGAATTAGAAGAAGAAAAAAGTCTGTTTCTTTTGAAATTTTACATAGGAAAGGATTAGAATAGAAAGATTAGCCTTGTCTTCATCAGAATTTTGGAAGGAGAAAAATCTCAGGAAGCTTGTGTGAAATGTTAGAATCTGAAGCACCTTGGTCATTTGAGGCCACAGCTCTATCCCCCTCACTGGAATTCTGATAGTGGTAAGACAGCAATATGGATCTGTGGTCATTGGATGTGTGTGTTCTGGCTCCCAGGGTATTTCTACACTCTGGAATCCACAAGCATGTGCTAAGAAGCACGCCGTACCCAGGTCTCACAAGTTCCCCAACTGCTGGGGGTAAAATCTGTGTCTCATACCCTCCAGGGAGCTGGTGCCAAACAAGCAAACCACAATCCTATCCATCCCTGATGATATCATCTTACAAATTAATTTTTAAAAACTAGACTCCCTTAATATAGGTGACAATGGTGTGACTGGGACAATAGATGAGGCCACTGGCAGTGGGTCCAAGATCTAACTCTAATGCACAAACCGACTCAGTGGAGCCCATTCTGTATGGAGAGACACCTTGCCCAGCCTAGACACAGGGGTGTGTTATGAGCAGGTTTTCCCACCATCCTGGTCACAGCCACACCAGCCCCAAATAACACACAGAGATGCTGTATTAGATATAAAACTGTTGGCCTGTTACTAGTGTTTCTTATTGGCCAGCTCTGTCTTAAATATTAACCCATTTCTATTAATTTAAGTATTTCCACATGGTCTTATCTTACTAGAGAGAGGGTACCGAGTTCTACTGCCTTGGTCCTACATGTTGAATCTCCTCCAGAATCCTTGTCTCCTGGTCCCACCTACCTTGCTTTCCTATTGGCCAACAGGGCTTTGTTCATTAACCAATAGAAAAACATATTTACAGAATGGCATCTCACATCATCTCTTTTCTGTCTAAAATAAAAGGAAAGGTTTTAACCTTAACATAGCAAAATATATAACAAAACAGTTATCAAATAAGAACCACAGTTAACACTATTTAGTCCATTAACATTTTAGTAAGATTTAAAGAAAATATTTTTATCGTATATCCTATCTTTGTGAGTCTAAGGTCCTATATGTAACTTATCTTTAATCCTAACTAAGGAAAACTATAGCCATAACTATCTGTCTTCAACTCCATCAAAGACCACAGAAGGATAATATATAAATTCTAGAATTGACAGACAACTGGCCTGGTCAGTCATCCGAAGTTCTTTTTATTTATTTATTTATTTTCTTTTAACACACCATTGTGTTCATACACACCATTGAATTGTTAGCAGCACTTCTTAAAAGCTGTGTGGTTTTTTGCTGCTATGTTGAGTCGGGAAACCTCCCTTAAAGGAGCTGCTCAAATCTCTGTCTCTAGCAAAACAAAACCCAACAGAGAAAAATGCTTCTACCAAGAAGCCTTGCTTGTCTTTTAGTTCTAAAACCCTGTTTTAAGCTTTTGTTAAGTTTTAAGTGAAAGTTCTAGGCCCCACGTAGGGCGCCATTTTGTTACGAGCAGGTTTTCCTGCCATCCTGGTCCCACAGGCGTGCCAGCTCCAAATAACACATCTATTTACAAAAGAGCCTTGGTAATGCTTCAATGAGATGATGAGACAGACTTAGTAAAATTCCTAGAGGAGTCCTTACCCTCTCCAAGGAGCAGATGGGGGGGGGGGGATCGGGAGGAGAGAAGGGATGGGGAACTGGAATTGGAATGTAAAAAATAATTGAATAAGAAACTTAAGTCAGGGCTAGAGATGCGGGACGGCTTAGCAGTTAAAGCACTTGTTGCTCTTGCAGAGGACTCAGGTTTGGCTCTTGGCGCCCACCTGGAAGCTTTCAAACACCTATAACTCCATTTCCAGGGGGCCTAACACTCCCTTCTGACTCTATGACAACGTAAGCCTGTGGCGTACACACATGCAGACTAATAGAGATGTGTTTATTTGTTTTGTTTTTTTGAGACAGGGTTTCTCTGTGTAGCCCTAGTTGTCCTGGAACTCACTCTTGTAGACCAGGCTGTCGTCAAACTCACAGAGATCCGCCTGCCTCTGCCTCCCCAGTGCTGGGATTAAAGGCTGCCAGGCTCAAATACAGATTTTTTTTTTTTAATGTTTAGAATTCTCATTTCAAAATCATATATTACCTATCAGTGTAACAGCACTTAATATTTGTTTTAGTAGACACTGCCGAAGGGTGGCTGGACTTAATATCACTGCCCAACTTTACAGAAAAGCTCCAGGAAGCTTCTCAGGCTCACAGTGGCATGTACAAATTCTTAAACTCTGAACGTTAACCTTTTATCATCATCTTTACCTAAATCGTTAACTTTGAAGTGTCAAACTTGACTCATTTAACTTTGAGAAACAAACAGCCGAATATCCATGGTAAGATATAGTTTGCCAATTGTTCTTTCGGGTAAAAAAAAAAAAAAAAAAAAAAATCTTATTTGAATGAAGGCATTCGTTTAGCTGGCAACTCTAACATGGTTGCATTTCCTTGGGGGGAGTTGCCATACTTTTCTCAGAATGCAGCAGATCTCTACCCCAGAGAAGTTAAAAAGAGGTCTGTTCTGTGAGAAAACGAATCTGTGTGTGTGTGTGTGTGTGTGTGTGTGTGTGTGTGTCAGAGTGGGGGGTCCTTTATTCTTCACAATGTGGTAAAGAGAGCGATGGCAGTCAGTCTTCTTTGACCTCTGAAGAGGCGACGGGAGTCTTGATAATCTTTGTGTCTGCACTAAGGCCAACGTCAACACAGTAAAACAGAGTAAACAGATTAGTATTATTATTATGAGAGCTTTTTTACGTTAAGGATGGCCATGAAAGCATCTCAGAAACCCCAGGAGCCTGAAGACCACACTTTGAGAGCCATTCTGAGAAGTAGACTCTTGCATAGGGCAAAGCGTGAAATGAGCCCCGGACCCCTATAACCCACCTCATCTATCCATACTGGACAAGGACGAGTTTTTTACGTAAACAAGTACTTGAAAATGCTCCTTCCTTATTCCTCCATGATGCTCCACTCCGATTCTAAACCTTCTAAGAGAGACTGCATTTTACCACACATTTTTGATAGTTCTGAATCATACCGAATTGTAGTTATCTGTTTAATGAAAGTGTCAGTTTTCTGTCACCAAAACAAAATACTTTTTGTAATTATTTATGGAGATGAAAGGTTCTGCGGGGCCGCAGTCTGGAGGTGTCAGTCCATGGTCAGCTGGCTTGCACTGTGGTGAGCAAATGCTTCGTGGAGCCAGCTTTGGGCAGAGCAGAGCTGACTGCCTTGTGACCGGAGTGCAGCAGAAAAAGATGGGGTGTGCCCCGTGTGATCTGAGGACCCCCGAAGACTTCTCTCCAGGGCCTGATGGGGATCAAGCCTTGATATAGATGGACCTTTAAGGACATTCAAAGATGGAACTATAGCAACATGATATGATTCGAAGAAGTGTCTCCTGGCCTCTCGTGAGATGGCCCTGCATGTTAAAGCACCTCCCAAACCCAGTGACCTGAGTTCAATCCCCAGAACCCACAACGAGAGAGAACCAATACCTAAAGGTTGACCTCTGACCTACACACAAGTGATGTGGCACACACACACACACACACACACACAATAAATTAAAGTTTTACATTTTTAAAAGCTTTTGCATTGTTTTCCCTGTGATACCAGGAATTGAAAAAACAGGATCCTGCTTTTTCCAGGCAAGCGCCCTACACTGAGCTGCGTCCCCTGCACTTGAGTCATTTAGGATAACATTTTTAGGCTCATTCTGTCCACTTTGAAATTCTATTCTTTTCTTTAAAGGTACAATAAAAATGATGTGTGTGGGTTTTTTTTTTTTTTTTTAACCATGTGACTATAAGATATCTACTCCAAGTCCACTAATGAATCAGCAACCCTTCAATGCAAGGTAATTAGTCATTTGTGAAGATTGTTATCAATTCATGTGTTTTATACTTGTGTCTGATTTCAATCTAATATACTTTTTAATAAAATTTATCCCCCCCCCAAAAAAGAGAAGGGAACTTATATATGTAGAAAGTCATTTTTTCTTTAACATTCTTATTACATTATATGAGAGAATGGAGAGAGAGAGGGAGAGAGAGAGAGAGAGAGAGAACATGCAACAGAACTCATGTGGAAGTCTGTAAACAATATATAAGAGTTAGTTCTCTCCTTCTACCATGTGGATCCTAAGGATCAAACTCACACCATCAGGCTTGGCCACAATTACCTTTATCCACTGCTCCATCTCACCAGCCCCTCATGTTTTTCTTAACACACTCAAAACTGAGACCCGGCTGAGGTGAGGAGTGTAGCCTCTCTGTAGTTGTTAACTGAACCAGAGCTCAAAGTCAGGGATCTGCATCTTCGTGGGATATTCTTCTGGTCACCGAAATTGACAACACATGTTCTGGCCTGAGGGTTCCCTCTAAATCCGCATTGCTATTTTATGACAGTAGTGAGGACTGGGGTGTTCAGAGGGCTCTGCAATATCATAACTGCCGGTTGCGTCCTGTAGTGATACACTAAGGAGACCCTCAGCAGATGCCAGAGTCTTGATGCTGAACTTCTCCAGAACAGTGAGAAATAAATCTCCTTTCTTTAAGAATTGCCCACCCTAGATTCTGGATAAATGAAGTTAGAAAGTTTTGTTCATTTGGGGTGTGTGTGTGTGTGTGTGTGTGTGTGTGTGTGTGTGTGTGAATGTCTCACTGGATAGCCCAGGTTGTCCTCTAACTTTGAGTAATTCTCCTGCCTCAGCCTCCCAAATGTTGGGATCACAGGCAGGAGGTGCCACACTTGGCTCTAAAACA